ATAATTTAATGACAATACTGACTCAGAGATATTTTGGATACAACGAATAAGAAAACGTTTATTAACAACAGCTCCTCCAGAATGATCCCCCCAGCTGCTCTTTATAAAACATCAAGCTTCTATTTCCAGCTTCTCACCTCCATCCCTTATGTGGGTTAAGAAACTCTCAAAACCACCAGTGCTTTGAAAGAAAATTGTGGTAAGTCTTCCAAACAACATTATTCTGTTTTAGTTACAAGAAACTGTCCACACCTAACAAAAGTAATCTTACCAAGAGCATACCTTGTAATCAGTGGAAATTAAAGAGAGATTTTCACAAAGAGAATTTCTCATGCATCTAAAAACATACAGAAGGAGCACAGCGTTGTCCAGACCTAGCTACAGAGCACAGCACAGGAAATTTTTTTTGCACATTTGTCTCTGGAAACAGGTAAACAAAAATTTTATTTCCTACATGAAAAATACATCAAATGAGTTGCTTACTCTCAAACACAGAAATTCTTTCAACTACTAAGAAACAGTAACTTATAGCTGAGGAAAAGCAAAAATATGGATAGGATCTATGGAGTGGCTGGCTCTGCAAAACCGCATTGTCTCTGTTGTACCTAACTTTATAATTTGGAACCTTTTCTTACCTTTCCAGGCTCATTTTAATTCCACAGTGGAGTTCTGTCCTATTTAGCACATGGAATTTCTGTCACCAAAGCAGTACTGAGAATGCTGCTGAATAAACCTTTCTCACATTTTGATACACCCCAAAATGACCAGACTTGGATGGTATTTCAAGTGGACCCAGACAATAGAAAAATGTGAAATACAGGATTGACAGTAAAGTTGTTAAAATTGCCTACTGGTTTATCGTGGTGAGAGGGAGAAACACTGTATTGACACAAACACCAGATGCACCAGTTGTAACAAAACTTCTGAGCTATGCTGTAGGGAGCTTGCTTTGCTTGTTAATATAAAAAACATGGCTGAGATTGCATCCTATCAGCTGACGATGATACTGAGGAGATGGAGCCAAAACATTGCATAAATTTTACACAGTTCCAAGTTAAGCTAGAAGGTCAATGATTAACCTTTGTCTGAAAAATAAAGCAACATTTGGATTTTTTTTCTGGGGATAATCTAAGTGAAAATTCAAGGTTGCTTATAATGGGGAAAATAATGCTGTCTTGAGAACATCCCAAGCTTTGAAGCCATACAGATTACTATGACAATTTTGTCCTTCTGTGTCTCTCAAACACAGTATTAGCCACATCTGGTACCACTTACAGAAGTGTGGGATTTAGCTGAAGTTCAGATAGCCTGTCTAATTCCAAGGGAGATTAAGCTATAAAGGATCTTACAAAAAGTAATTAGCAAAAATGACTTAGTTTCTCACTGCCAGTTTTAGTTTGTTGAAACTTTCCAAAATTGCTCTTGCCACTAATGCTTCAGTGGCTGGAAGAATATCAGTTTAGATACCTCATCTGAAACCTGACCAGTGTCTTTCAGCTACTGGATTTCACCAGGTGGAGAGCCTTACAAGTGGTGGAAGACAAAGTCTGTCTGAACTAGTGCCATCTGTTCCTCAAGAGAAATTTTGAGGTAAGGAGCCTTTAAAGAAGTGCCATTTGATTGTTAATATTGAATCTACCATTTTTTAAGAAGAAATGCAGGTGAGATCCCTACAGAAGAACAATAGCCTGTGAAAACACAAGAGCCTCTATCCTTGGATTTTTCTGTTTAGGTGGCACAGGAGGAAGGCAGTGATCTTGGTGGTCATCAGATTCAATCCTCTCTCTTCCAGTAGCAACAACCAGACTGACTGGATGAGCACTGGTATCAAAAAGGGTCAGGACCTGACCCTGAAGAGGGTCAGAAATCTAACAACTGTTGGTCAGATAAATGACATCTGTTTAATGGCATGAACCTCAACACTAGAGTGGCACTCCCCCAAAAAAGCCCAAAACACCAACACCCCTCCAAAATCCTCCACAACCTTCCAGCACTAGGATCATGACAGCTTTCATGATTCAGAGGCGCAAAGGACACCTTCAATAATGCTGCCCTAAAGGTGGGAAAGATTCTTAAAACATTGAGGGCTTGTGCCATCATCTTGATATCACTTATGATGGAACAGCCTTAAAAGACCCATGAACTTCTACATCCAAGGGAGCAAAAATTTTCAGGACAAAAAGCTCTAAAGGGTATGGAAAGCAGGTACAAAAGAACTGTATTACTGGCATGTTTGTGAAGGTTGGTACTGGAGATCTAAACTAACACTGCAGAAGTGGGGAGCTCAGGCAAGTATCAACTTTTGCCATGAGAGTTTTCAGATACAAAATGTTTCGTTTTCTTCATGAGTAGGTTAAGTATAACTCAAGCCATTCATGCTCCGAATCTGATTCAGGATTTGCAGGTGGAAAAAAGAATTCCTGAAGAACCAGGAATGCAAGAACCAGCTTGCTAGAAGCCTCCATCTCATCATCCAGTTGGCAGAAACTCAAAAATGGGCAAAACCACTTCCCTCTAAGAGCACAATCAAGGGAGAGAGTAAGTTTTCCTTTTCAGTGGAAGTATGCATGTATATACAGATGTGAAGCCATATACAAGTTATCATCAAGACACAGCTACACCTTCAGCTGTGAGCAACTTGTGTAGACTCTCAGTTCTGTGAAGGAAGGTATCCCAAGTCAGGCATGTCTCAAGTGATTTTGAAGTTACTTTACTCTTAGTGCTTTTTACTGGGTTTTTGGAGTAAGGAAATTAAGCTCTAAGGGGCACACAGATGGGACAATATCCTCAGAAGATACTGCAAGGAAGACAAAAGGAAACATGTAGTACTTCTACAGACTATGAAGCAATGTGGAAAAAGTCTCACTCAAGAACAGTAGATACACTCAGTCAAGGCTGAGTGTACATACACCTGCTGGGAGAAAAGTAACAGTTAGTGCCAGATACTTCGTACAAAAGGAGAATGTAGGTTCTGAGGCTGCAGCTTCCTCGTTATCTAAAGATGCCATTACAAAACATCTGTGCAAGTCAGTGTGACAGTCTATACAGTTAGGAAAAAATCACTCATTCTGTGCTACTATCTACATTATCATCAATAGAAATATTTAAAAAAAACCAACTTGAGTTTGAAGCCTAGCTGTAGATCAGTAAGGCACAGTCTGAACACAGTGGGAACTGCCTTTACTAATTTGTATTATTTTCAATGATGACTGCTTTAACCATTAAAACCCAAAAATCCTTACTGTTTAATGACTACTGAAACAGCCAGACCTTCCCAGCCCATTTCATATTCTCCTGAACCCATTTTAGAGCAGATGTAAGCTCCAAGCTGTAAACTTCTTCCATATTAACATTCATTGTCATATGCTTCAGAAAAAGCTTTGGATCAGACAGACGAGCAGCCAGGATCAGTCTCTCCACTGCCACTTGATAGTCACTTTTACTCTGAGCTGTCTGATCTTCACATCTGTAAGTGAATTTTCAGAAATACAAAATTAGGTACCGTAGAGGCCCTATGTCACTTGCCTGACACTTTATACTAGCAACAAGATTACAAAAACATTACAATAATGCCTCGTGTTCACTTCATTTATAATTGATTATGTTAATTTCCTAAAAATTTTAGTAAATCATTCTGAAGAATTAAAAAGTTACAAAAAGTACATTTTTAACATATTATTTAATGGCAGTGCAAAGTAAGTCTGCAATGTACACAGCATGTTTCATGAAGGAATGTTTGACTCCAGGCTGGAAAATTCAGTAAAGGAAAGTAAACCGTTTTATGAACTGGATACAGCAAGAATTCATGTACATGCTTGAATCCAAAAGGATTACTCATTTTTGGCATGTAATCACTTTTGGAATACGGATGCGCCTCAATGTCATGGCCATGTTTTCGCAAGAGCAGAACTTACTCTTTAAGCAAACAAGCAGAGGTACAATAGCACACACATGAAAACAAAAGATAAAAACTGTATGATTTATCAAAAGAACAAATTTAAGAGATGTATTCCTTGAGGGAAGACAGAGCATTTGAGACGCCTCTGTTCATCCTTCTTAACAAATGTAGCTTTTCTATGCAGTTTCATACTTTGATGCTGAGACAGTCAATCTTAGAGAAAATGGGGTCTTGAAAAATAATTTATAGGTAAAATCTAGTGACAGTGGTTGGTGGTTTATGGACAAAAGGAAAAAGCAACGTAACACATTTTTAACTGAAGGTAGTAAGTCTTACAGAAAGGGAAAAAACATCTAACAAATTTAATATTGAGATATCCCCTATAAAAAGAATCAAATAAAATGGCTTCATTCACTTTCTAAAAAACAGCCAAGAAATTGTTAGAGTTGCTTTTTGAAAGAAGTAACATTTTGACTGCGCCCTTCTACTCCACTGCTTCATCTATATAGCAAGACATCAAGCTACCCTGGTTTTGAAAATACAGTACACTCTTAGTGGGGTAGACACATTCAGTTAGGGAACACAGGTCAGTATCACTCTGGAACAATTACTTTTCTGCTACACAGTTGTAAAGAAAATACTAATAATAAAACCCCCAAACACTTACTGTTCTATAATCGGTTTAGAAACAAGGACTAAAAACAAGTTTAAAGCTAAGCATTACCTTTCCTAGCCAACGAAAAATAAGATCTCTCGTTAATTACATGATACAAACAAACTGGTACCTTTGAGACAACAAACCTTTTCAGTATTATTTGAAGACTCTGACTAGTACCCATTGGACTTCGAATATCACTGGCATTTGAAACAAGAAATATTTCGATGGCCAACAGCATCTCAACCTCAGACAGGTAAGATGGAATCATCAAACGTTTGTGATGTAAATTTCCCTGCAGTGGTGGGTAGCAACCCAATGATAAAGCACCTGAGAGTAAATGCAGAAAAGTAAGGAATTAGGATTGCCAATACTGAACGTAGATCTGTTTTCTTCAATACGTGGCTAGGAATGTGGAAGAAAAAAAACGCCAAACTCTTAATGGATTTTACTATTTTACCTGTGAAATGGCCTGATTTGAGAACATGGCAAACAGTATTCCCTCATAATAGTCACTGCTGTAAAATGTTATTTTTATCAATGAATATTATCAGCGATGATTAAAAAGCTCTGTCAGAAATCCAGGGACTCCAAATGCATAACATCACAACTACAATTTACAACAGGTTAGACAGAAGCTCTATTAACTATAATCACGGTGAGAAGACATTTGAACAGCATCCTCCCCTCTGCTCCCCTGTCTTATGCCAAGTGATCCCAGAGACCCCACCTTTATAGCATTTCAGGAAAAAAAAAAAGGCAAGGAAAACCAATCACTTCAATGTTAACAAAGCCAAGTATCCATCCCAAGAGGGATGGACTCCTTAAGGAGCTTGCTAGCAGTCACAATTCTCAGATGACTCAAACAGTAAATAATGTGACAATATGAAGAGATGGCTCTTGGTGGACCCTATCAGGGTGGCACACCCAGTATTATCTTATCTTAGCTCAGAACTGGGGAGTTGAAAACAATCACAGACTGTTAGCTTTTAGTTGAAAGGTACTTCCTTTTACTTAGGATAAACGTAGCCAGACCTCTCAAGTCTTAAATATTAATAATTTTCCCACCACAGCTCTGAGCACAAGTATAAGGAAATCTAATTTGCCTAGATGAAAAAGTGAAAATGATGCACTTTTTAACCACTTCAGGGTTCACATTTTTGAAATTCTGAAACGGAACGTAAAAAACCCCCAATTTTATCAGAATTACATTTATTTCATGCCTGGTAGTATGCATGGATTCATATTTTCAACTGTCACTACTTCCCAATTTTGGTTACAAATAAATACCTGACAGTGACACAGAAAGTACCGTTTTCTTCTTACAAAGTATACTCTTGCCAATTTCTTCCCAACACACTGAGCCGTTATGAGCACGTTATCAAAAGAACGCAAGGGAAGGATATTGTTTAAGAAGCAACTTACTCTTGTAATAGGTCCTAGCTTTTGACCATAAAGAACTTCTTCCCAAAGCTGTGATTAATCCTCTAAGTAAAGAAAAATCAATAGCCATGTTTTTTGAAAGCATGAAGTCTACTGCAGAAGATGAGACCCCAAGGTTCTTGCTCTCAAAACAGGCATTTATCAGCATGTTAAAAAGGCAGCTGTACTGAGAAACATCTACAGTATCTGAAATGAAATGAAGAATATTAACTACTGAATTAAGTCAAATGCAAATGTAATCGAAGAACTGCTTCTCAATCAGTACCTAAATCAGGACTCTTGCTTCTATCAGCAAAATGGAACAAGGTTGAGATAACTTAGGATAATGCTTTATTGATCAAAAGCCTTTTCATACAGTTAGTTCATTTACGTTGTGAAAGAGAAGTGTTAAGGTCCAAATAGTCATTTTCTGCCAAAACCAACAGGATCAGATAAAAATATATTCACTTGCCCAACCCTATAAATACAATCTTCACCTGATGTCTCAGACTTAAAATCTGCACCAATAAAAATCACCTTGGTGCTCCATGTTCTGCTTCTACTCTTACTGTGAACAGTCCTCTTCCATGCAACTGTCCCCCTCTTGGCAGGACTGAGCAGCATTGTATCCACCTCATGCCTCAAGGCACTGGATCCTTTTTGGATTCTCCAAGTGGATGGTCTTCCAGCTAAGCTCTCCTAACACAGGACTGAGACCTACACACAGGAATCACTTGAAGTTTCCTCAGTGGAGCCTAAGTAACTATACAGCTCATTTTGAAGTATGCTTTCAAAATCTGTCAGACAAATTGAGCCCAAAAGAGCACTCAGTTCTTCACATGGTATGTAAAGAAGCCTAGGTTAGCTAGCTCAGTTATTGAAAAAAACAATGCATTAATCTGAAGTTCAGATAAAACGAATTGCCCCAATGATATCCCTAATTAATCTTATTGTATAGACCATTTATGATCCTTAAAAATTTTGTGAGTCTTTCCTGTTGCCCTGTGTAACTGAGCCAATTGGAAAAAGAGGACAGATATGTAAATTGTGTGTGTGTATGTGTACATGCATGTGTGTGTGCTGCAAGTGCTGCAGAGTACAATGCACATTTTAATTGACATTGCGCTCTTTGGGAAAAAAAAAGGCTTGTCTAAAACTTAGTTTTTCAACAAATATTAGCTGGAAAACAAAAAGAGTAAGTACTGAATCATCTGTTACATTTTTAGCTCTTAACACAGTACCTTTTTCTTTACTTACCGGAATTATTTTGAAAACCTGGTAAGTTCTGCAGAACTTCAAATGCCTCCCTGTATAAACTCTTCGTCAAGTATTTTTGCACTAGTGTACTTAACAGATTGTGTCGGCTGAGGATGTCCACTTTATCACAGGGCCACAATGGTTCACTTGTGGTCCACTCTGATTCTGTGGCAATCAACAGTGCAATGTTATTTCTATGAACTGAAACTGCTGGACACTGAGACTTTTTTCTAGAAGACAAGCTTACCTCTCAGTACCCATATAGCTCCATCCAAACTTCCAGTTTTAAGAAAGATTTCTGCAGCTTTATTAACAATTTGACATCTTGATGCTGACCCCTCTGCACCTATAAGTCCTTTCAAGACTGTAAAATGTATCTGTAGCTCATGCAATTTATCCAAAACCTTCCTTCCCTAGCATAAGAGGGAAAAAGGGAAAGAGGGAGGGTCAGAGAAGGTGTTGGTATCTGTGAAAACAGATTATATTTACACAAAATACAGCACATTTAATTCGGTGATACAGACTTATAGGCATCAGTTTAGCTATTCAAACTGAGTCAGAAAAAAAAAAGTATAGCAAAATTTCTAACGAAGAGTAAGGTTTTTTTGACTGGCTAAGCAAAAAACCCCCACCAACCCATTGTTGAACAGTACCCAGCACAGTATTCCCCTTACCATTATTTCTACTATATAATGTTCCTATACAGTATTTTTAATATACTTTGTAATTAATTTGTATTTGTTTACTTTCTTTTTTAAATATTTTTACTCTTTTGATTCCATTCAGCACACAACCTGTAAAATTCTAAAAAAGTTGTACAGAGAGTTTTCATTTTGCAGCAGAGGCATAATTGTTTATCTGAAACAATTACTCCAGCATAAGTCAACGAAAACATAGTTGTACCCAGCAGGATGATAAGCTGCAAAAAGTTGGGCCTATCTGGCCAAAGGTGTAAGAGTCAACAAATTTATCGTCATATTCCAGGTTGGTATGTGAACTGGTTTCCTACAGAAGCTCCTCTTAACTTTTTGGCTGGCCTTTTCAGTCAAAGATGGAAGAAAGATAGCAGTCTTGAAGATAATTGTGATCTGACCAATCGAAAAAAGCTGATTACTGAGTCAAGGCAGGATATCAAATTAAGTCCCCAGCAAGGCAAGGACAGGCAGGATTCAGCAGCTGTCCTGTCTGGCTGCACCTTGCTGGTCAAACATCACAAATAAAACTCCGAACTAGACATGTTTAGTCTTGCTTAGTCAGTGCATCAGTTAAGAGGTACTAAGATGGTGGGGAGGCAGGTGGCACATCCAGCCATTCAACTCGAGACACACAGTTTAACATCTAGAAAAGGAACGATATGTTCCTTTTCTTCCAGTCAGATTCCTATAGTCTAGTATACCTTTACCCACTGTAGTACTTTGTGATACGAATACATTACACTTATCCCAATCCTTCCAATGATAATTCTGTCTGCTTCATTATGTTGTGAATTCTTCATTACTGCAAAGAACAAAAAAACAGTTTTATTTTTAATTTTACATTTCAATGCAGTTTTAAAGAAATTACACACTTGAAAAACACAGTCATTGTGAAAATATTAAATATACTTTCTGAAATATTTGCCATTAAAATTAGTAACTTCCTAAGTCTTAACACCAGAAGTGGCGTAAATAACTAAAGTTTGTTCAGATACTATTTCATGGCAGCCTAATTTATCCGTAAGATGCTTGGACATGTAATGGGAAAATTTAGTAACATCATTTCTTGTAAAGTAAGCTTTGTATTTTCTGGCACCATGGAGAAATGTTGGCAGTTACAGAATGGAGTAATTACAAGGTTTTCCAACCATATTATACAATCACTTTGGAAGCACTGTTGGTATTCTAGAGCAGGGGTCACTCAAGTGGGGTGTGAGCACAACAAACTACTCAGCTGTGGGAAGAAAATACTTTTTGTCCCATTAAAAATAACAATAAATAAAATATTCCTTAAAGTAGTGTTTATTTCATCTTTATATCATCTTTCGAATTTCTATTTTTGTGTATGTTTCATAATGTACTTAATATGTTAGTGCAGTGGTACAAGTGATAGATAGACAGACAGACAGACAGACAGATAGAGGGTGAGTGCTGAAATTTTTTTACTGACAGAGATGCCTATCAGTTTGCACACCACTTCTCCAGGGAAGACAGACTAAATTCTGAGTCCCACTAAAATCTCCTGTCTGTGTCACAACTGGAAGCTGTGATAGCTGTTTTATAATATGGAAGTCTGTGGTCAGAAAGGTCAGGCCATGTATCTGGAATAAATACTCCTCATTTTTTAGTAGTTAATACAGACTGAAAATGATCTGAGTTATCCATTATAAAATGCTTTAATATCCCACTGACACTTCACCGAGCCTCAGTTTTCTGCAAACTTACTAGGAAGTATGATACAGATACATAAATGAAGAGGCGTAGGAAGAAGAGGGGTAAGAAAACCCACCAGAACTATTAAAAAACTAGGAATTTTGTGGACCCAGCCTTTGCAGAAATTCTTGGTTCTTTAGAGCATGAAATAGTTCTGAAAACCCAAATTACTAAAACAAAAAAGTATGTATTATATATATGATGTAATCCTGTTCAATATGTTTTGAAATATACAAATATATATAGCTGTATTTACATTCTAAAGTTTATGTTATTTAGAGTGTGAAAATTCACATGATAATACTTAAATATGTTTGCCTTTGTCCTGAGAATAGGACATTCTTATTGAAAGATCACCAATTTCAGCTTCTCTTCTTGATTTCACAAAGCTCAAATGTTCTTTCAGAACTTTCTTTGACTGTAAGTGTAAGCACTGTGGATTTTACTTCGACTAGAAAATGGTTTCTATTGAGCAATTTGGCTGATTGTATTTGCATCTCAAGTAATTCTGAATATTGTAACATAAAAATAACTACTGTTCAGAAAATAGTATATGAATTTGTTTTTTACCTCTTTTAAAAACTCTACAAAGAATAGAGATGAACAAAAAGCATTTATTGCATCTTAATTTTACCTGCATCAGCAAAATCACAAAAAGGAACTCCTGGTCTGTCTGTCTCCGAGTCTCTGGTTAATATTTCAGCAATACATAAAGACAGTTTCTGAAGATCATAAAAATGTTCACATCCAGTTCTCGCATTCACATACAAAGCTCCCAGCTTGGTCCAATCACTTTTTTCCTTGCAATGCTGCAAAAAGGCAAGGGGTAAATATAAGCAAACCTGCTTCCAGAACACCAGAAAATATACTGAAATTCAAGAGATACACTTGGGATGGACTTAAAGCAGAAAAAAGATGCAGGTGAAACGCTGCTGCCAAGAACCTCTCCGTTCAATATGGCACAGTTACATTTTGCCTAACTTGCATGGACTGCTAATCACTGTCGTCCCTCAAGAAATTAAAATCCTTTTTCCATTTGTCATGACCCCAATTGGTAAAGCTCATAACTTATTCATACTATTTAAGAGCTGGCATTCATCCAGTATTTTACTATCTTTTTTTTCTGCACGATGCATACCAAATTCACGGTTATTTTCTATACGAATTAGGCTTTTGCTTGCCAGATCACTTGATGACTTTGGTATTAAAGGGGTAAAAAATCAGTCAGTGTTCTTCCCTTCTTAAATTTTGGTCTCAGGACCTGTGCAGTAAGCGCAATATGTAAACTATATTATAATTGTGCATAATAAGCAATTTGTCCTTGAATATGAAAGATGCAAGTGTAAAATTGAAGATTTTTTAATAATATTTTCTTAGTCTTTAAAATACCCACTTAGTGATGCCAATTACAGCCTTTTACAATTGTGCCAGTAGTTCTATCTGCCAAAAAATTTATTAAATAATTTTGGTGAGGAATGATGTACAAATAACAACTATAATCACAACAAATGTAAGGCACTGGAAATAATTGCTTAAAATTATAAAATATTTGAATTAAGATACAAAGCAAGATAAAAACTCCAGGTATGTAAATTAAAATATCGACATCACAGAATAGCCAGTTTCCCCTTGCATGTTAATCTTTCCCAAATACGGCTTTGCATAAAAATATTTTATTGTAATCTCAATATACTTAATAAAAAAGCCTACTGATTTTAAATGATGTAGAAATTGCTATTTCTTATAGGTTTAAAAGAAGTCACGGTTTAAGTATTCCAAAAGGTCTGAAGAATGCATATACTGTACCTGAATTTCAGCCACTGCCAAGTTAAAGTCAAAAAGCCAGTTCTTTTCAAAATGTCTTTCCTGAAATCTTCTGTAAGAAAACAAATATTAATACTTATTTTTAACACATCCTACTGAACTAAATTATGCACTATCAGAAGGTGATCAACAAATTATCATATAGGAACTAAAAACTGATGTGATTTTTGATCCTATTTACTCCACAGTATATGAACTGGACATGGAAAACAGACATTTACAATCATGGCAAGGGATGTCAGCACACATATTAAGCAAATAATTGAGGAGAACTATTTTCACAGAAAATATTCCCTTGTCTCAGAAGAAATGTAACTGAAAAGGTATGAATAAGACTTGCAATCAATTAAGTAAATGCAGAACTCTATTGTATGTATTCCTGACATAAAGGTAACAGAAAAGTTAATTCCATGAAAGAAAGTGCTATTCAGCTTGAAATATCTAGGTGCATAATACTCGATTCTGATGTTGAAACAATGAATACATCTACCCAGTGTGGTGCTATCATGTAGAGCTACAGAACCTACACATGAATGAGCTATTGCATGGAGTTCAAGTAGCAGAGCTGCTCAGTCTTCACACAGACTGTTTTTCAGTTTGTGCTGAAACACATATGTACTGAGGCAACCTAGAAAGAGTCTTTCCTTTGTCAATCAGATTCCTGTTCAAAGGAGTGCTAAAAATTACCTCCAGCATGTGTGGTAAGTTGTACTGGTAAAACACTGAGATCTGTGGCTGAAAGGTACTCTATGGGAAAAGTATGAAAAGCAGCAAATCATTTCTACAGTGCTTTCACTTGAAACAGTGATGGCTTGTTTTCACATGGTAGATGCTGCATATGTGGTTTCCTCTAAGAATCAAAGGTTGCTTTATGAATCACAAATTTAGTTTCTCAACTTGTGTGTGCATGTATGATGCTGATGATACAGGAAAAAAAGGATCACAATCCACAAGTGAAGAGGAGATATGAACAGTTTTGGAACTGATTTGGGCTGTGATTTCACCTTTTGCCCAGGATAATCCAGCAGTACTTAAAAAAATGACCCTCCTCCCTGGTTGTGTTGGCACAAGTGTTTATGCAGTCACACAGTAAATGAGCTAGAAAACTACTTCAGATTATAACTAATCCTCTTACTGCCTAGAAGAGTTGTTTGTTGAATCACAGAATCATAGAATACCAGGTTGGAAGGGACCACAAGGATCGTATAAGTCCAACCTCTCAAGGTAAAAGTCTAGTTTAAATGAGATGAGTCAGCACCCTGCCAAGCTGACTCTTAAAAATGATCAGTGTAGGGGAATTTACCACTTCTCCTGGGAGATTGTTCCAATGTCTGATTGATCTCATGGTAAAGTACGTGAAAGTACTGTTGCTTACGCAGGCCCAAATGATGTATTAAACCATGATGTTTCTAATTTGACTACTGTTATATAAGCTTGTAGCATGGCTGGCAACACATTGTACAGTGATGATCAATACAGAAAACAATAATCATAACTGTGGTCAAAATCTAAGCTCTGCCTTAACAATTCTTGATCTTTGAAGCACAATAGACTGACAGCGCTTTAAAATACAATTAGGCACAATATGACAGTATCCTCATCCAGAACTCTAAATTTGCATTTTCTAATTGCCTTTCAAAAGTTTTTACATAAATGTATAAAAATAGAACCTGAAGAAGGAACTAGACAGATATAATCATAAAATAGCTCCTTAAACACATACCTGGATTTTATGTTCAAAACAGTATTTATTTCCTGACTGGAAACTTGCAATTGGTGAAGGAATTTAATAATACAGTCAAAATGTTCTAACTGAAGGAGCATACCAGCATCAATGAGCTGTAATATCAAACGGGAGGAACAAAAGTAAGCATACAAAAACTTGTGTTCACTTACATATTTCCAGAGGCAAGTGGAAAACAACAGCAGGATAAACATGCCACAGTGAATCTCAGCCAAAAAAAAAGAGAGAAATGGAAACCCGTACCAGAAATTCAGCTAGTTACAATGTAGCCCTTAAAAAACAGTACTGAAATAATATTAAAGTGATATGCTTGACTTTTAAAACAGGCAAGGTATTCAGAAATTCCAACAAGTAGTACAATCAAACTCATACCTTACGAAAGGTACTGATTAATGTAGGCACAGCGTCTCTTATATTCAAAGAAGCCACATGCTCAAAAACTTTCAGAAGAACATCTACAGCAGGCTAATTTAGACAAAAAAGCACGATCAGTTTTGCAGCTCTGTTCAATGAGAAAGCTTAAGAGTTTTTATAACAGGAACTTTTGAATTGCTGTTGTTTTTACCCAAAGATTTGAGTACCAGAGTAAAAACAAACTTACTACTACAAATGGCACAGTACTCAAAAAAACTAAGAAAGTGTGGATCAAAGATTTTAAAAATACTACAAGATCACCTACCAGTGCATTGATTCGTACAGTTACATTCAATATCTTAAATACTTCCCACAACAAACAGTTCTTGAGCAAAGAAATGAGAAGATCATTCAGCACTTGAGAAGAAAAATCCACGCCAGGAGTAACTTCTCTGTAATACTTCACAAATATTTGGACTGAAAAAGCAATTAAATTAATTTCACTCTGGGGTAACTGGATGGATCTGAATCAACTGCTGTCCCTAAAATACGTTGAATTGTAATTGTTTGCATATATGTTAATGTAAAAGAACTAAACTGAAGCTGTTTGGGTGCTGTAACATCACTTCATTTCAAGAGTTCAGTTCCAGAGTTATCGGGTTTGTGATGTTTGGCCAGGGTATTCAAAAGTGCCTTAAAATTTTGGTTCCGTTAAACCTCCCTTCGTTCCCAGTTGCTCATTTCTACTCTCAGGTCTAGTTCCATTCATGCTAAGTTCATTTTCTGTGGAAGTAAGATTTGTAACAACCTCCCAAGATAACTGTGCATCTAAATACCTAGCCTCAATGGGAAACTGAAACATGAAAATACATGGATTGGATGTATTCCTTCAAAATCAGAACTTTTTACTTACTGTTGAAGTGGCACCCATTTCTTTCCTGACAGCCTAGTTAATTTGCTTTAAATAAGCTAAGTATAAGACATACAACAAAAGCTACTACTATAGCATACCTGCACGTTTTAGAAGGCCTGGTTCCTTGGTACTAGTGTATGTCCTAAGTATGTCCATGCAAACCTAGAAAAAAGAGAAAAAAAAATCCATAGTAAAATGTTACCTCAGTTGATGCCAAACAAAAGAATGATCCACAAACATGAGTTCTATAAGGAAATGTGCTTTACATTGTATTTAATGTAAATATTACTTATTCATACTGGGAAATGGTAAGAGAAGGTAATGAGGTCTGTAGGCAAAGGCACTACCAAAAGGACAGCAAATCAAACAGAAAAATAATGTAGATTAAATGTTTGGGAAAGGAGCTGCTGTGACCACGACTGCAAGCATGTGTGTGTATATACTCATAGCAAGCAAAAAACCCCCTGACAATACAGCTACTTCAGAATTTGTATAAATGAGGCAGACTATAAACAAACAGAGAAAGGGAAGCAAAAAGGTGAAAGTGAAAACATGATCAAGAAAAATTACATGAATGCACCAACTAAGAAGTCAAAAAGTAATCTACAAATGAAGCTGGTAATATTGATCATCACAAAGAATCACTCATAAGGACACAGAAGAAAAAACTCAGAGCTAACTTGATTTAATGAACCATTTCACCTCAGCCTCACTTGACCAAAAAAAAATCCACACCCAGTTATTTCATGTTATTTGGTATTGGAACATTCTTGTCTTAACATCTTAAGCTGTCAACTTACACATTAAGTGGATACATACACATTTTGCTCCATCTATACAGACGAAGAAATAAAGACTACTGAGATTAAATCTTAGAATTCCAAGTTAGGAGAAAAATAGCCACCCTTTCAGATAACCTTTGTCACTTCTGGAACATTTACAGTCTTTCTGCACATCAACATAAGTGGGTTATATTTAATACTATTTGGTGAAAGAATTAAAAATGAAGAGACGGAAAATGCACTAAATTAGTTGTCATGTTACCACAGAACTGTATCGGGCTTATTTTTACATGCAACTTCAAAATAAGACAGGATCCACTTAAGGATCATCAAAGCTGAAGATACTGGCTTATGGCCATGACATCTTTCTTTTTTAAAAACCATTCATGAAGTCAAAGAACACAAAACCTGTACATGCAAATATGCTGAATATAAATAAAACTTACTGGTTTTATTTTGCAAGTGTCATAATGTTGCTGAACTATAGTCTAAGACATACCTTTGAGAAAAATCTTGTAGAATCTTTGATCATTAATATATATGCAGTGTCACTTGGCAGTGGGTTAACTAATGTAATCCATATCTACAATCCCAGGTGGCTGAGGGCATTTCTAAAACAAACTTTAGCACATGCTTGCAGCATGTAAATTAGTTTGCCTTCTTTCAGAATCTGTTTTCCTCCTTCTTTGGACTGACTCCCAAAAAAAGCCAAGATTGCATCTGGAGCTCTGACTGTTCCAAGCATTAGTGAAATTGCTTGGAAAATCCAGTTGTAGTAGTATTTAATCATGAGACACGTTGCATTACGTTCATAACGGAAACTAAATGTGTTATTCATTTACAGCTTCTAGGAGGCTTCAGTTGATTCAGTTGCTTCCATTTTAAAAGGTGTAATTGAACCTACAGACCATGTAAAAATGTCAGAATCTCTAGATTTTGAGTTAGCCATAATAGATTTCGAATGAAAGTACATGAAAGAGACAATTTCCATTTTCAAAAGGTAATATAGATCACACTGTTCTGTCACCTATGAGTTGATTCCACAACTCATCTAACATGACAATTTTTTTATTAAAAACAGCCATAACAAAGGGCTGTGTATCTTATACAAGAAGCTGACTGTCCAGCAAAACACAGTTCTACTGCAGTAACACAGAGGTGCTTAAATCAGAAGGACAAGCACCAGAATTTATGAAATCCTTCAGCATCTCCCCATCAGTGTGCACTCTGATGTTTAATAAGGGGGAAAAGCCCATGCTACAGCCCTTCACTCAGGAGTCAAAAGCAGGATCCTTAGATAAGATTCTGTTTATGAACCCTGTGGCATCTTTGAGACACATGCTCCATATTAAATGTGGCTGACACTGACCAACAGGTTCAAAAATTAAAGGTGTTTAGAGACAGTAATAAAAAGACAGAGTAACTTTAGGTCTCATTTCTTTAAGAAGCCAGATTAAAAAAAACCAAAACAAAACGAAACAAAACCCACAACAGAAGCATACACCTAAGGCCCTGAAGTTGCAAGACAACATTAATGAAGGCAGAAATCTTCCTATTTTATATCCTGTTTGTTTCCAGATAAAGGTTCATAGGATCAAGCAAAAAGAAGTCATAAAAAGTAAACATTTCTTTAGTAGATATGAATTTAAAGGGTTAATAAGAAAGCTGCACAAAACAAATAAAATCAAACAGAAAAATACAGTTTGTATAAAGACATGTTTTCAAACCACTTATTTAACCGTGCAATTATTATCTATGCTACAGTCTGAAATATCATTCAAGCCAAACTGAAGTGCCTGTAATTTCAATTTATGCCCACTGTCTCTTGTCCTTTCACTGGGCACCACTGAGAAGAGTACGGCTTCATCTTCTTTACCCATTTTCCCCATGAGACACTGACACACATTGGTAAGATTCCCTCCGTTAAATACTTTGTGTAGCATTTAATACACAATCTTAATAGTTTTGTTTATTTTGCCTAATACAAAAGAGATCTCACTGTTTGAAATTAAAGGCATCTTTAAACAAATAAATAAAGCTGGTAACTTGTAGAACTTGCTGAGCTCAAGAGCATGCTGATTTTCAAAACATATGATGTTTTTATGAATTAAATCACTGCTGAGTTGTGCGATCAGTCACAACTATGAAGACTCTAAAATCCTAGTAAGTTATGCTTTAAAGCATCAAGAAGTTACTTAATGAAAACAAGGGAATGTCCATTACAGGGAAATGTATTTATCTTCAAAAATTCTGGGAATGATCATCATTGAAAACTTAATACCAAGAGCAAGTGAACTACCAGTCTGCATAACAGCTACTAAAGAGATTTATTTTCCCTGTATTTGACTCGATAACTTTGTTGCTGCTTTACCTGCCTCCCATTTATGTACTTTGGTGCCACCATGAGGTGCTTGGCCTATTACCACTTTTAAATGGACAGTTCTAAAAATTAAATAAACACACAAACAAATCCCAACATATACTTCCAGACTACCAAGAAAGTGAGGCTAGGATTGGTGGGCAGAACAGTAAGTCTGCTGGAGTACAGCACCACAAGTAAAATCAAATGGAATGGATTTTAATAGTTTTAGGCAAATAATTTAATTCTTTAATGTGTCTGTATATAATGAAGCACTACAAACCATAATAGTTCATACAAACTAGCTGAAAATTACTGGTATTTACTACAGCCTGTCAAAGATATTTCACAGCTGAGGAAAAAGGAAAATGTCTCATAAAAAATTACGCTCAAATTATCTTAGTATTTTTAAGCTGTCACATAAATTTTCAAAGGGGTTACAAAGCATTAGGAAAAAAAAACCCAGCTATTTTTTGAGACATAAAAAGGAGAAGAGAAAATATTAAGAAAAATAAAACCAAATTACACTGCCGTATTTTAAAAAATCTGAGAGCACATTTAAGATATCAAGGAGGACACCTTTCTCTTTGTCTTTTTAATATTTAGGTCTAACAGGTTCACTACATGTCACTTTTTACACTTTTGATTCTGTAATTCTGTAATGATAAAATCATACTCATACCAATAAGATGGTAGGTAACAAATCTTGTAAGACCTGATGAGGACAACTTTAGGCATTTGTCTTTGTTTAGTTGTTTGCTTCCAAGTGATTTACAGAACCACTTAAGTCTCATTTTCATACAGCCAATTTCAAAATCTTATTACATGACAGCACAATTACCTTGCCTTGCATAGCTCTTGAAATGTTACAGACTCATAATTTTTGTTAAATGGTGTGAAAATGCATCTACTCTGCCTATCACTGCAAAAGTATTTTTGCTTCTAAATATGAGAATTGATGCTCCATATGAGGAGATTACAGCGCCTTTAAACAGACATGCCCCTACTGCAAAAAAAATGCAGAAAGTAATATACTATAGATGGCTTTTGACTTTAAGAATGTGTACAAAGTTTGGGTTTGCTTACAGATGCTTAGGACAGGAATGTATCAGAATCTCCCCATTCTACTACTCTGTATTTCTACAGCCTAATTCTTGCTCTTGTGCTGATGTCTATTCTCTTGAAAAGTCTAAGTTTTGATCCAACAGTCTCTGAAATTTACTTCCTTTCCATATATAAAAGAACAAAGGAGATGTTGTTTTGCATTTAAAAAGTGTTCCTTTCTTCAATAAATCTCTTTACCTTTTCATCCCCTTCTTCAGGAACATGCCAAAACCAACATTTTGCTCTTTCACATCCGCGTAAAGTCATGAAATAAAATCTGCAGTATTTACGGGGCAACTCCATCATCTCGAGGATCTGCTGGATTGAATGAGAAGCCTAAAATAAAATAAAATTAAAACAAGCTGAAAAACCCCAACAAATAGTATTTTTTAAAGCAAACATGCTAACTTTTTCAACCCTTTCAAAATACCTACGAATTCTAAACAAAAGCAAAAAATGTGATCTACAATTAAACCTTTGAAACATCTCTCTATACCGTATTTGTTGCATTTCAAAGCACACCAAGATCAGTCCCTTGTCATGTCGTGTTAGTGCCTAACCCAACAAAAATCTGTCTTGAAGACCACAGACAGAGCGACTGCAAGAACTGCTAAATCAGATGGACAACGAGTAGAGAGGAGGAAGGAAGGTGACAAACTCCTGCATGGCTCTGGACAACAGTCTGAGAATTCCAGGGCACCAATTTCCTTTACCCTTTTTCAGTGCCCAGCATAATGGATAATGCAGTCTGTCTTAAACATGTGAAACCTTGTCTGCTTTTTGGTTCTACAAAAACAAAAAGCATTATTTGATTTTGCTTAAGAAACAGAAATCAACAAAGCTCCGCTGTGAATAGCTGTTCCCTCATCACTGATTTTGTTCTCAGAAATTGTATTTACTCAGTGATACTATATTTAGAGGAGCAGAAACATAAACATACATAGATTTGTCATTTCTGAGTAGATATATAGAGAATTGTCTGAATATCCATTACAAAATTAGTGCCAAAGGATCAGAAAACATTAAGGATTTAACAACTTACAACTGCTTTTTTTTCCATCTTCCATGGCTCAAAATCTCCATAATTTTGCAATTGCAGCCAAGGACTTTTTCCTGAAGATCTGTAATCTAAAAATTAGGATGAGGGCAATAAATGGATCATGTAATAAAACTAAAACCACTCTCATGTATCTTATTTTTCTTTATACCTATAGTTCCTTCAAGACACAGCAATGATTAATGAAAATTTGGTTAATACAGTCTAAAGCCAGTAATTTAAATTACAGTTTTATTCATTATCCTAAAACTGAGACTTTACACAAACTTCAAGGGTAAGCACATTTAAATTAAAAACTTCACTACTTTATCAAACGTTTCTAACTTACAGAAATAAGAAAAGAAATTGAACAAAAATACCCAGAAGTTTTAATTTCAAAAGGAAAAAAATAACCCCATTTTATCAGTAATCTTTGCATTCCAACATCACTAGCCATAAAAAGTTAAACTATTTTTCCAGAATTGAAATAAATATTGCTATTTGACCCTACCAAATAGGATTCTGCTAAAAAACCTAGCCCAACCCAAAACACATCACTAACTTACCATATGAGAGCTTGCATTTTTGCTTCTATGTATGCAAACTAAACAAAGTCCAGCCAATGCCTTTAGGAATTGAAGAAATTCATTAAGATTTTATAGGTAAATAAAACACATGTAAAAATAAATTCTGGACGGTTCACCGATGCAGCATACGATACCGTTTGTCTGTGGTTTCATCACTGTTTCTTCACTGAGGACGTTTACTTTCCGGGCATGGAATGGCAATCCTGATAGCAGTTCACAGTTCACAAGATCTTTGTATGTACAGGCACTGTCGAGTATTAAAAAAAAATAAAATTTGTTTAAGCAAATTATATAGCTTCTCCCATATACTAAATGCCTAAAAAGGGGGATTAAGCGTACCAAAGATGAGAACTTCTTCAATATTTTCCACAACACTTAAAAACTTCCTGTAAATTTAAATAGCTAGCAGTCCTAACAACTTCACTTTCGTTACTCTCATTGCCTGGTCCAATCTGATTATGATCTTAGCTGAGATTATTCTGTCCTAAAGTGTAACCATATGAAATTCAATAAGTAAGTAGAAAAGGCACCCGTGCACCACTTCTACTTTTTTCACGATGCTGACAGGAAGACTGAGATGTTTTCTGTCACCTCTGAGGAAGCATCTACTTTTCAGTAGTCTGCTATGCAGTATCTGCCAGAGAAGTAATCGACAAAGCTTTTGAAAACAGATTTGAAGAGCCAACTGCTTTCTTTCTTAATAACTGACTGTACTCAGCAGAAGATTTAGGTGATTTCACAGAGAACTCCTATTAAAGACTGTTCTGCTTTTAACTACTCCCAAATATGTACGTTCCAGATAATTAAACTACTAAAATGTGCTACAAATACTGCTAGCAAAATGCTTAGTGATTTTTCTTACTTGTAAATAAAGCCACAGAAAAAAAAAATCCCCTTTTATGAGATCTTCCTCCCTTCCCTCCTTGAATTAAGAATCTAGGATCAGTACAAAGGACATTTCAGCCTGCTTGTTGTATGCAGGCAGAAATGGACTTCCTATCCCCTATGAGGGGCACATTCTAGCTATTTAATACTCATCATAGCCAGGAAAATTCAAATCTTTCTTAAATTTCAAGTTGTTTTTAATACAGTTTGAAATAAGAAAAGAGCAGAGAATAATAAATTATATCCAATAAAGTCAAATTCTTCAATATCAGTCTTTATTTTTATTCTGGTCAATGCATTGTATTGGTCACTAGTGGGGAAAAAATTCTGCAGATCTATTTACTCAGAATTTTCAAGCTACTGTGTAAAAATTTTTTTAATGCTCCTCTGTGATGCCAGCCTTAGGTCTGACACAACAAGATTTTCATTGCAGCTTACCTTCAGGATAACACACTCAGCTCTTTCTAATCTAGGCATGAAACTACACACAATTTTGCCAGAAACTGTAAACTATACAGCTCTACAATCAGTTTCTTTTTTTTTAAGTAACGGCATCACTAGAAGCGGAGTTTGGTAAATAAGAACAGTAAGTATGTTTTCTTCTAGATGAAACTTTGCAATGGTAATATTTTTGAGTAAAACTAGAGAAAACAGTCTGACTTCAAATGGAGGAATAAATGCCTATTATCCAACTGCAGTGTGCTGCATTTCAACTAAGGAGGTGAAGCAATGCAGTATCACTTGCACAAATATATTTTATCCTCTGTAATCCACTTATTCTATAGCATAAAGCACTATTTATGCTACTAAGGTAAATTTAAATGGATATGTTACCAAAAGGAGGAGCTTGGAGCTCTCTAGTGGATTAATGAAAAGATGCAATATTCTCCATTTAACGGAGTTCTGCTATGCTTCAAGGCTGTCACAGAAATGTGACTGGTGCTGGGAAACAAGGAATACCCTCTTCTATACCAGCTAAGGTTTCTTGATTACTGTGAAAATGACTCTGAAATATCTGTTCTTTCTCTCCTATTTACTTCAGTATTCCACCAGTTTAGTATAATTTTTCTACAAATTCTTTTCTGCTTCATTTTTGGGCTGCTGTTGAATGGAAGTTTCTTAGTCTGACACTTTAAAGCATATGTACAATAAACACTGTAAGCACAGCTTGAAGCTAGAACAGTAAAACACGTGCTTAACTCTACATGCCATGTTTTTAAGTGCGTTTTTCAACTGCTGTTCAAATATCTGTCAGTCTGAATTTGAATGAGATCTTTCAATTCTTTCCTCAGTTTAGAAAGTCCCAAGAGGCATAAAAGAAAGCTGAAGTTACACTGATTTTTGTTTTTCTTTTAAAGTTCTGCTAAGTGCTATTGTGGCTGGAAATGTATCATATGCTATATGCACACTGAGATGCCAAAGTGAGACACTGGCATAAAGTGGAGATATTTCATCACCAGGCAGGGTACAAAATAACTTCTCTTCTAGTTTCAGGCTATGACTATACTTGTTTCAGTAAAAACATCACATTTCATTTGTACAGTAACTGGGGCACATCACAGGTTACATGAAGGACACAGCATATATACCTTTTCTCAGCTTCATCCTTTTTTTCTTGTTTCACATCAGGCACTCCATCTGCAAATGTGAACTGTGAAGATATTTAAAATGTACTTTCAGATACAGCAAAGCCTGTTATGCTTTAAAGTACAGACTTAAAACTGTTAGTGATCATTGGAAGGTGTGATTTATAGTCTTGACTGTAAAACCTGTAATTTGGACTGTAGGGTTACTCTTACACCATCTTCTTAAATGGAAATACTGCCATTATACTCTGTGATCTTTACAACAATGATTTTAATTGGAAAAAGGGTGGCATGATTGTCTTCACTGTTCTTTGATTCCACTGATAATCCCAGCAATTCTTAGGTCCACTGCCCAATTTTAACTGCACCTGACAGATATGTAGAAGCCCACAAAAGACATTACATCATGTTTAATGAAAATTTAAAGCTGTACTGAGGAGAAATCTAAGGCTCAGCTTTGCACCATGGCGTATAGGTAAAAAAATCCCCAGAGATATGGAGAAAAAAGAGCACTTAACGTATTTGGGGGTGACAATCTGAAAGGACTGATAAAAAAAAAAATCATGGAATCTTGGCTTTGTTTTGTCCATTACTCATGAAGTAATTTGAACTTCACATTATATCACAAATATATGATATCCAAAGAATTAGAGATGGATATGCCCTCATCTGATTTCCAAACTTAATTTTACCAGTTCTCTAAATATTTTTAAGGCTTTCTCCATGGTTAGTTTTTGTCCTTCTCACAACGTTATTTGTTGGAAAAGCATTCAAAAATCCACAAAACCTAAAAATCACTCCAGATGGTAGAATACTTGCAAGAATTGTTCTGCCATTCCACTCCCTCCTCAGGTCCGCACAGCTAGTCTTCCATCCACATACAGGAATAGGTATAGGGCTGTAGCATGTATTGTGTGGCTAAAGTCTGGTTAAGTTTGAGGTTTGCGTGAGATTCATTGTACCTATTTACTGTTGTCCAACACAGCACAGAAAACTAAACATTAGGACATTGATTTGATAAAGCCACAACTCTACAAAGCGTCCCAACTGGAACTGACCTGGCAATACTGCAACAAGTACTACATCCCCCCCAACCTATACTATTTGACAGACCCTTTTACGCTCTCTAAGAGGTCAGGGAACAAAATGATGCTGTTCACTTTGTGAAGCAGATGTTAGCAGCCCCAGTTCCATTTGCTGACAGAAATATTTCTAGTCTACTTTTAAATAATGATTTTGCCAGGGAAACTGGTTGCCTACTGTTTTATTACCTTATCAATTACTTACCAGTTTTCAGCCATGTGAATTACAGAGTTTAATTTATCCAGTTAAAAACATAATCCACTCTTTAAGTGGTAGAAAACAGTAAATGCTATCAGCAGCTATATCTGAGTGGCAGTGAGATGGAAATTCCAATCCATTATCAAAGAAGTAAATAGCATAAAACTTCAGCAAGTCTTAAAAAGACCTAGACTTATTATCTAGAGGGAGGAGGACAGAGAGAGAGTAAAGGTCAGATCAAGTCAGTGAGCATGAAAATGGCTTAGTGTTCCCTCTGAAGTGCCAGGAAGTCAGAATGTGAATGTAATGGCCACAGAATGATCCTCCTCGGATGCACAACGTCTGTGCAGCTCCCCAGCTTTCCAACACCACCTCATCCTTCTGAGACTGTGTGGTGAGAAGCATTTAACTTTTAAAACTAGGTATGTTGTATAAAAATGTCACATATGTGCAGTAGTACTCTTAGGTGTACACTAGAACCGTAATTTTCATACAATTGGTAATATAGAATTACTGTAACAACTGTACAACTGATATAATGGTACCTTGTTTAATTTCAAATTTGAAGAATTATTAAGGACAAGGTCAAAAAAACAAGTTCTGCCAAGCAAAACTTACATTTTCAATAGTACAGTGATCTATGAAACGCAAATATTCTTTTTATTTCAGGAAATTAAAAATTCTATTGATAAAACAGCATTAGAAATTAAAATGATCCAATTACAATAATTTTTAAATTTCTCAGTACCTTTTTGTCCACGTCAAAACTCTTTAGAAGTTCATCCAGTTCTCTCAGTTGCCCATCTTCAAGAAAGTCCTCAGGAACATCTCCCAGAGGACTGCTTCCTCTGGAGGAGTTGTGGGTTTTAATATCTTTAGCTGAAGATGTATAAACACATTATTTTATGTCTTTCTCATGCTATAAGACAACAAAGCTTTTATTACCTAAATATTACAAAGCCTTAATATTAACGACATTTTAGGACTTCCTAAATGTGAAATTTATATGTAAAATTATTTCACCTTTAAAGCACAAACCATTTCAAATAAATATTAAACTGAATCTGCAATTAAAATTCTATCCAAGCTGTATGTTCTGCAACAGTCCCTGTAGAACAGTACAAGAGGTTTATTTATATAATATTGAATTCAATATTTTAGAAATAAATTCATTTAAGCTTTGTTATTAAAACACAGCCAAAGATATGTATGGTAATTTGCTAAGCAAATAAAGGCTTAAGCCTTTGCTGGAGAAGGGGATATGTTAATTGTAATGACATGATGCAACCCTGAACTAAATATGGATAGCTCTGAGAAACTCCAAATTCCTGTAATACAGTAAACTCAATTAGAATTCAGCATCAGGAAATTTCAGCACCTTTTGCAGACGCCACAGGAAATGAACAGAACACCTGACTGCAGCTTCCTGAAGCAGCTGTTTATGTACAATAAAAGAGCTCTGCATAGAAAAGAAATTCACTGTTTCATTGGATCACATTAATTAATTCCAACTGCACTGCGTGGTCCAGATACAGGAAGAAAGAATCAGATTGTTATTGGGAAGGCTTTTATCCTATAGTCATTGGCCTCTGTATGACCATCAGTACAAGACACATCTGCTTGAAGACAATGTACACAAGATTTTCACTTGAAAGATGAAGAGGATTGATGTCATCCAGAGTACCTTAACTGCAGTATCTGTTGCCCTGCTTATACTGTGAAGCCACTGAGACAAGCAGCCATGACTTCACTACATTACACAAGACACCAAAGCAGTAATATGTATTTCTAAATAAATACATAAATTGTCAGTAATTACCAAAACCAGGCATCTTTCATTTTATTCAGGTCTTTTTAAAAAGTCATATATCAAACATAAGTTATCACATGCATATTAATATAAGAGTGTGATGCAACCCTAAATTTGTCAGATCTGGGAAGAAGGACCGACTTAAACCCTTTTTTAAGCACCACAAAAAGACTCAAAGACTTTTAACCTCAGACTTTGTTAGAACATGAAGTAAAGCAACAAGCAGTCTAGTAATATGGAGAAGTTAGTAAACAGTACAGGACTTGCTCCCAGGTTTGGTTTCAATCATCTCAGTGGCACAGACCCCTCTGGCTCTTTACATCACCAGAAGCCTAACTGTACTTCCTCCCCACTCCTCCTCAGGGAACTTGAGTCTATTTCTTGGTGTCTGGGCTCTCAAACCCTCATTATTTTTTATTTTGCCTTATAATCACTGAAGCCTGACGTTTTCTCTCCCTCAAATAGTCACTATTCACTCCCTTTGCTCCAGGAGGCTACATCTGCCGAAACCACTCACTCTTTCTACACGAATGAAAACATTAATATGAAAAACCAGCACAAGAGGTACTGTCACAGTCAATTTTCAAGCTTGCAGCAAAAACAATACATGATGTCAGAGTGCCAGATTAACAGCAAGCTGACAAACTGACACCAGAAAGGAAACACCGAGAACCTTCAAAACCAATCTTGGCACTGTGTGCCTCCTCCAGTGTGTCAGTAATGGGCTTTTGTTCAAAGTCAAAACCCTGTTCCTTCAACCTAAGAGAAACTTCCACATCAGAGACACCTTGCAGAGTAGGTCTGCATGCAAGCTGCAGAAAACAAACCAAATCACATTCAGATGCTGCCTAGTTGGGCTCTTCTGCTTAAAATAGGAAGAAAAAACTATTAAATCAGAAGCATCCTTCTCTAAAAAAATAAGTATCCTTAAAAACCAAAAGTTTGTCAGGGGAATGGGCACAGCATCCACAAAAAAATAAAAGTACAACCTGGAAGAAAAACCTACTTTAAAATTCTGTCTGCTGATGAACACAAGAGAACAAGCAGGTGAGATTATGAGTCAGACTCCGAAGCAGTATCACAGTACTCGGTGTCTTACCACCACCACCTCATCAACTTACAGAATTCCTTGTCTAAAGTATCAGACAGAAGTCAAAAAAACAACAACCAAAAGCAAACAAAAAAATCCTGGTGCTACCAACAGACAAATACTGCAGAGAAGTAGATGTTCCTTGTAAGGATCAGGTTTGTACCATTTTGAGAGACACCCATTCTATATGCATTAGAAAACAAATCGCTGCTACAAGTTCTCCTTTTCTGTGAAAAGTAGAATGCCCAAGTTTTGCCACTGAACACCTCTGTGGTTACTTTTGTCTCTCGATTATGCATTAAAAGATCTCCAAAGACTCTTACCTTTTAGCAGCCAATCACAGGAATTTTCAGGATCATTTGACATTCCCGATTCTTGCATGGTAATGTTTCTGTTTTGAACAAAAAGTGTATTTAAGATTTCCATCTGGCAAAAAAGCAGAATTAATCTAACCAGTTATGTAAAATTAAAGTTCTCAGTAATACTTCTAGCTATGGACAAAATCCTTACGTAGAACACACTGTTGTAAGACTGTTAACTCTCCCTTTTTGCTTTCTTATGTCCATCCATACAGATATATACCTACACACATTAAGTAAAACCAAGACATTTCAAATCCCAAATTTGTCAGTAAAAGCTCATTATCCCATTTCACCTTTGCCTAAAATACTGAGAAGGGAAATCTTCTCTGTATCACAAATTACGGCAATACTGTGCTAATGAGCCCATTCATCAGTTTCTACAAAACAGAAATGATTTATAACAATTTTATATTCAAGACAATTTACATAACGATGAATCTCTAAGACAGTAACAAAAACAGTTTATAGAAAAACACTTATTTCACCTAGTTTAAAGACAAGTTGGGGGGGGGAAGTATTTCTCCTTAGAAAAGTTCAGAAGGCAAAAAATATATATTAAAATATTATACACAGGATATATAAACCAACAATGTCATCATCACAGATCTTGGAAGCTCACACCTGGTGAATGACACCACGTATAATGACAGCAAGCTGCCTAGTAAAATGAAAAAATGAAAACTTCAAACAACCTAGTGGGATGACAAAGTTCCCCAGTATGTGCAACTTGGAGCTAGACAAATATTCAGGCACAGATATCTATGTATATACATGAGACACAGTAAGAAGCAGGGTTTAATAAGTTACAGCATGTTTGCAGAGACGAGAGGGAGTTTTATTGGCAGCAGACTCTCTGCAGGCTTATTTTCTCTTTTCCCTGCACTTTACAAGAAATGCAAAGTTTGAGTGATTTTGCCTACAACAATTGACTTTCTCTTTTGTAAAACTGCAGTATAGACAGTTCCAGAAAGTTGTCATCATCATAAATAATGCTTAAAACTGAAAATACTTAACAGCATCAGGAGACTGAAATCTTTATATTCAGGTCAAATGCCACTTTCAAATCTTCACCAGGTTCTGCTAATTGTGTAGTGTGAAATAGTTACAGAAGCACTTGCTAAGTTCTTGTAAAGAAGGTGCCTAAAGCATACACAGAAAACACCTGAAAACAATAACCACATCAGCTTCACAAGGAGAATAACTCCATCCTGGCGAAAGCTCCAGTATTAACTTGTATTCATTTAAAGGGAACACTGCTGAAACACTAAAAGGGAATTCTGCAGTTAATTCCTAGCAAAACCAGGACATGGCTGATGTGCTTTCAAAGGTGTCCACTGAACCTACTAGTTCTGTTGGGATGAAAAGACATATGGGATGCTGTTTTAAGTGTCTAAATTCCCAACACGAGAGAAAGAAATACCTCAGTTGACTGACTCCAAAACCTCACTGTTGGGAGTCACTTTGGGGCAGGCAACATAATATGGCAAATAGAAGTATAAGTGAAAACTGAGCTGCACTTCCCCATTCAGGCTGCAGGTCCAGAATCCTTTCCTGATGACAGGCAATTAACACCTAGAAGTGAGCAGCACTCACTCTTCTCTTCTTAAAATGAAACCACTAGAGGAATAACCTACTTATCCTAAAGGTCAGAGCACGATAACTGCAGCAAACCATTCAGGACATGCACACAAAGAGCTTTTTCTTAATTTTATTGGATTAAGAGACAGGACTTGCTCGTCCTACTTAAACCTACTTTTTCAGCAACATCAGTTCTGGGCACACGCACAAGCACAATTACAGTAGATAGGAAACTTTAAGTCAGAGATGTGCAGTAATGTTAGGTGCTCCTTTGGTTATTGGGTACTTTCTTAGTTTGTTTAAAAAAACAAACAAAACCCAAGCCCAAACAAAAAGCTATGCATTGGCACAGTTAATAAAAACACTCAGCAACAACCACCATGTGCAGCCATTAAGTGCTTGCATTGCTCATCTACCTAAAATCACCTAGATTACACTCATCTAGACTGCAATGGCTAACATTAACCAAATGTTAAACAAAACATGCATATAAACTAATATTTATGCAAGTTAGAGATGGTTTACGAAAGTGCAGTTCTGACTTGCTGTTCTACATGGACAGATTGAAGTGACATTACAAACTAACACTGCAACGAAGCACAACTGAGTACGCATAAACTAAGAAGCCAAACAAGAATACATAGACAATACTCTAGAGTATCTCTAAAGGAAAAAAACCCAACAAATTACATTAACAAAAAATAGATTTTATTTTAATATATTTAGTATGATGTGAGTGGAACTCTACCAGCATTATCCCTTTTTTTGGTTGGCCAAACTAAGTTGAAGTCCCAGTTGTATCGGGTAAAATACTAACAAAAGAAAAAAAACCAGTATGAACTGGCCATTATCTGATTTTATCTGTTAATGTCATAAACCACCTGACAGAAGTGTGGTAAGGTCCACTGCCTTATTTTAATATTCTCATATTCAGTTCATTAATATGTTCCTGACTTTGTCTAATGATCTTTGCACCAAATTATGGAGGGTAAAAAGCAAAAATAGACAACTTTGCCTGCTTCTTCAGTGAATTGAAGGAAAATTCTAAGAAATAACCATACATTTTAATTTTCCTTGGCTGATGGCAAGCACATTCAGCAGACAACAGCAAGAAAGTTGAAACATAACTTCAAACAAGTTCAGTTTTCATCTATCTAATGGTTGTGGTAATGTTACTCTAACTCAATGTCTTTACTAATTAAAGGGAGTATTTGTCCTTCCGACAAAGCGCTTACAAGATCCAAGAAATTTTTCAGTTAGTATTTATATCAATAGCAAACTTTACTACCATAACTAACACATGAGTGTAAAGGGCTCAGAAGTTCTGGTCTTCCTTTCTGTGCAACAGGTGTCTAGACACAGTCAGTTGGAAACCGAACGACCTGGGGTAACATACAGCGAACACTCATTCTGTTATACAGCGTATCTAAGATAATATACAATGTACACAAAACAAATACTCATTCTAATAAATTTACTACAGTACAGCTTAGCTGCTTCTTAAGAAGTTGGGTGCTCCTGCTAAAGACTTGCTCTGATCTTCAGAGGCTTGTTCTGGCAGCAGCTTTATTCTATTAACATCTGAAAGTTTCATATTCTCACGTCTAAAACACTGTTTGGCACCTCAAAGAAGATTCTTTTCCTCTTTTGCACATGGGTTTAATGAAGGGGAAAGCACAAGCAGAGCAAAGAGTAAAAAAAGCCAAACCTGAATGTAATTATAAGGTGGTACAATGTTGAAAATAATTAAGACATTATTTAAAATAAGGATAACATAAAGACACCCAGAAAGAGCAGAGGAAGAAAAAGAAAACACAGCTCCCAATAAAAAACACTAATATTCAGAGGAAAATTTTGTACTATTTCTAGCTAAGCTTCATGTTTTTCTTTGAAGGTGAAAAATTTAATCTTAATACTCATTTATCAAACACAAGCATCAAAGCTTAGAGAGGAAACAGACTAAACAGCTGATGAATTCATCTATCCCACGAAGGGGGCTTCTTCCTCTTTTACCTTTCAAAGTTTGTTTCTACTTTAAACTTTTCTTCCCCCTTCAGTGAGAAGTTATCACCTCAAAACCCAGAAAAACATTAATGCCTAATAATTTACACCAGGAACTTGCTGAATGGAAATGCAGGATCATAAACATCTATAATGTGTTAGCCAAATTACAGATTTGGAAACTTCGTATGTCTGGGGATAGGAGAAAAGCAGGG